GCTGCCGCGAATGCATCGCTATTCCCGCGAGAGGCGAACGCACTCATGCAAATGCCATCTACAAACTTGGGTAAATGGTGAAATACTCACATCCCCCTCAGTAGTCCCACGAATGCATCATAATGAGCACAAGCCGTCTCCTCGTGAGACGAGCGCGTTCAATTCATGCTTATCCCTCACAAGAAATAAGCAATGAATGCAGAGCGCATCTAACTCCCTCGAGAGCTGAACGCGCTTGCTCTTCACCACACACACACACACACACAGCACGCGAGCCGTGTGAAACTGCAGGTATCAGAGCAAAGCCTCTGGCGAGAAACATGCACTCCTAGTCGTGTTTAGCTTAACGCTAACATAAACAAACGGTCAGTAAAGACGAAGAACAGGATGACGTGTTTTCCCGGCGCCTATTTATACTATAGTCGCACCGGTAGTGACGTCATAGGCTGTCGCCGGCCAATGTTATTGTCGTTTTTAGATATACGCTTCAGACACCGGTCACACTGAAGGTGTTCCCCATAGCGACCCCTAGAGGACGCAGTTCGAAGTTCCCTTGAAAGGGAACTGGACATTTCAACGTTTTAGAAACATTTTAAAACAATTTTCCCACAACGTTTTTATAACTAAATTTGTTACCTGGGATGTTGGCATTGGTCTAATTTTACAGTCCGATTAAACAAATTTGCGGCAAAACACTATGGTTTGATTGGACACATGAACTTTGACATCCACAACAAAAATAATGAATATATCACGTAAACCCATCACATTTGCATCTTATTTGCATTTAATGATTTCCTGCTGTCCAGATCTGCCTTTTTTGGGCCTTGAACCACCAGATCGTTTCTGGAGATGCATAAAAGTAGCTACATAATAATTGTGTTGGTTTAGGCTCAGCTAAACTAAATCTAAACTAACCCACTAATTGAGTAGTTGGTTGATGGACAATCTTCTTGACCCATTCATATATGTTTGTATTTGCAGAAATGGCTTTGCTGTAGACGTCAATCAAACGTGTTTGGCATCTCTGACAGATCAGACTGGTTTGCTTGTAAAATTGATGAGAAACAAACAAGCATTATTGAAGCAATGTGCGGTTGATTTGTCTTAGTTTAGTCTTGGGAATTTCACTGTGAAGCTCTTGGAAGAACTTAGATTGTTATTGGTCTACAGTCTCTCTTTCACATAAACCCTCTTTGCTCGAGAGTCTGCAGGTAAAAGATGCGTGTGAACAGACACTTTTCATGCCTGTATGTATGTTTGTGTTTGTGCATTTATGAGCTTCTGCTCTTTGATGTAAAGGAAAATCATTTAAACTAAAATCTAGCAAACATTTAGATTAGAGACTCTCTTTTTCCATTGCCATCAACTGGATTTTGATTTTTGGGCAGGCTTTATTGGTGCCCCATTAAATTATCTCAAACTGATTCAAAAGTTAATAGATAACTAATTAAAAAGCAATATTTCCCTGTAAGATCTTGAATAGATACTGATCACATCACTATGAGTACTAGTACTAGTGTTGATTAACTTAAAAAGCACCAGTGTAATGTTCACACATTTTCCAGAAGTCACCCATGTCTTACACCATCTCTGCTCTGGTTTAAATCAGTTTAAATGTGTGTAAGAGTTTGTATTTTGGCTTTCTAAATCAGGGAAAACTCTAAAATGTAGATGCTTCCCAGAAGGCTGGTTATCTGCCTCCTGTAGCTGCAAAATAATTGTATAGTATTGCACATCTATCTATTAAGCTGTCGGGCTCATTGGCTTCAGTCTTCCCATGGGAATTGCCTCATCATCTGTAAGCGGAGGAGTGATTTAGGGAAACACGGATGTGTGATAATTCTCAGAACAGAAGTGTTGAGTCACTACGATTTGGCACCGCGTTCCTGCTGTTTTTTGGCAAGCGTTTGCGTGATTGGCATTGCTTCACGTTACCAAAAAAAGCTTTTCCAAGCTTGTCATATGCTGCCTTAAAATTGTCTTAGGATGTTCCAACTCACAAGCTGAGAAATTTTAATTAAAATGAGATGTTTATGAGATTTTGGTCAGAATATATTGATGTGGTGGAACATTTCATGTTTGTAGTATAATAAAATAATGACCTTTGCCCCCCCTGTATTTTATTGTTCTTAAGCAGATGTTACACATAGTTTTGTGACATAAATGATCTAAATCAGCAGAATTTTCTGGCAAACTTTAACAGGATGTTTACAAATTAAACTGTACAGTCGACTTTCAGAATTACAGTTTAAAATGACCCATTAATTAGCATAATATATAGCTGATAAAACTAAACTGTATGTCATAAGCAGTGTTGGGGAAAGTTACTTTTAAAAGTAATGCATTACAATATTGCGTTACTCCATAAAAAAGTAACTAATTACGGTACTTAGTTACTTTTTATGGAAAGTAATGCGTTACGTTACTTTTGCGTTACTTTTTAAATCTGGACAGGGCTTGCTAATTTGTTTTTAAATAAAAAAATTTACTACCCCCAACACTGGTCATGTCATCTTTGAACATGATGTGGTTTCTTACTGTTTGCTTTAAGTCCCTTGTTGAGGAAAAACACAAAGGTTTGCAAAAGTGACGCTTTGACCAAAAGTTGAGAGAATTTTCCATTGACAATTGAGAATTTCAGAGAATTTTTGGAAACTCAATTCACTGTATTCCCAATTGATATCAAACTGACTTGACACTGTTCACACCATAAGAACATATTTTAGACATTTATTTTTCTTGAGCTTTTTTCTAGTGTATCGATTAAGCACTATAAGGTTTGAAACAGTCAGTATACAGTCTATTTTGAGCTTTAATAATGATGCTCGACTCTGCAAGTGCAAGAAATAATGCATGTATACTTTAAATTTTACATGTAGTAGTTATTATAATAATCTGAATATGATAGATTTATATAATCTTGTGTTGTTGCAGGGTCTCATTAGTTCAGATGTCCATTTGCAGAGCATGTAGGCATGCAAATACCAGATGAGAAGGGAGGATGTGTTCTTTGATCAATGTTTTCATTTTTTTTTAAAGTGTAGGCTACTTCTTTCCAAAACAACATAATTGTTAGCTTCATATCATCTGCTGTGTGTTTGCATAAAGTGAATCTCATGAAACTTGTCAAATGTGTCCAGCTCATATTTCACCTCAAAACCTTTAGTAGTATTTGTTGTACTGGTTTAAATAAAAAATAAAAAAACTGTAATGCAATGTCTTTTTCTGTATTGCAGAATAAACAATCACCACTGAGAATGAGAAATGCAAGCTGTCCAGTTGTATCTATGAATGCAAAACAATTTTTCCCATTATTTTGAGTTGAAATATGACCCGTATGTGTTTCCATAAGAGTCACTCATCTGTGTGTGAGGTCAAAACAGAGGTGAAAACATCTGATGGTACAATCTGTGTTTTTTTAAAGCCGAACCCTCAGCAAATCTAGAGGCCAACGATGGGGGCATCCTGGAGAACGACCGTTTTTCAGTGGGGAGATTTATCAAAAAGACATGTCTCGTGAGTGTGCGTTTGCGTGTGTGGTTCGCAGTAAATCAGAAGCATGTACTGTGGCTACCCTGCATGGCCCATAACACCCTGAAAGCAGTGTGTGTCTGCTATGAATTAACCAGTCTAAATGTAAGACTCCCTCTGAGACTCCCTCCACTGCTCCGCCGCGCATGTGGGCCGCAAAGCAGCTTTGCACGTTTTTATGTGTGCGTGAAAAGATGCTATTTGGACGCCACCACCTCTGCTACAGAAAAGTAAATTAGTAAATACATTTAGACCTGTAATTTACATGACCGACAAGCAGTGTTTATTAATAATTGTGTGTGTTTGTACAGCAAACCAGCAGATGTGGCAAGCAAAGCGTGGCTGTTTTGGAGCAACTTAGTGAGCATGAATATAAATATTTAATTTAATGAAATACATTAAAGTCAACAATGCATTTTATTTACATCTATAAAAACAGATTTAAGTCACATTTATGAATAATTTTTTAACATCTTTGTAAAAATTACAGGCTTATGAAAACAAACAATGTTTTTTCTGGCATTGAATCAATATTAAACTTGACATTTATTTTGCTTTTCTTTTGTATATTTATTAAAAGCAATATATTTTAAATTGCTCTTTTAATCACCAGAAGTTTAATTATATATATGGACATTTTTTTGCAGCTAGAAAAATACTTCAATATATTTTAGAAACTATGTTTTTAAAAGTAGCACACAGTAAAATAAATTTAAGCACACATCTCATTACTAACATTGTTTTAAAGTACTGTAAAACCCTGCTGACAGCATTTTGTTCCTTTTTGGCTCTTTTCCTTTGGTTACTTTTGCTTTTAAAAATTTTAGATTTAGTCGTACATTAATACTTCTATATAGTGAACTATATTTATAATCTGAAGTCCAGTATTGCTAAATATGAAGTACATACCTGATTTTGCATAGTGTAATTTATCAGAGACAGTGGGTTTGAAAGCACACACTACACTGGTAAAAATGATGTGTTGGATTTACTTAAAATATGTATGCACCATTTTTGCATCACACTTTTTTAGTAAACCCAACTTGGAATAATTGTACTTAAAATAAACAAGATAATCTTTGTTATATGAACTTAAATATTTGAGTTCACTTAACATTCTTTACTTAAAACATGCAACATCATCTACTAAGTAATTTCAAGTTGTGTTAACTTAACATTTAAGCTAATTTATATAAAAAATATAATTGAGTTAAACCAACATTCTTTACTTAAAAAAAAAAAATGTAACACCATAGAATCTACTAAGTAATTGCAAGTTGTGTTTACTTAACATTTGAATAAAAAAATTTTTTTTGAGTTAAACCAACTTAACATTTTAACTTATTTTAGATCTTCAGCTATTGGTCTGCTTACTGCACTGCTCCAGTACAGTCAATATCTTAAATAAATTAAACACGCAAATCACACAAAATAAAGCATTTCAGTTTATTTTTTGACAGGCTGAAACCACACATCATGAATGTACACCAAAATGTGACAAATCGACAAATGGAAGTTCACTTCCAACATGTCACTTCCTTGATTTTTCACCCTTGAAAAATTGAGTTAAAAAGTTTGCCACTGTCTTGTTCCAGTAGAATCTTCTGAAAAAATTCAAATGAGTACCTGAGCTCTTTGGGGTAACTCGGATTAATTGCATAAATTAGGCCAAGCAGAAAAACACAAGCCTTCGCAACACCTGCCAATCCCGCCATCACCTCTATGCCTTCCAGCACTATCCCAGTCTGTAATGGATCATCTGTTGAGCCACCTTTTGTGATGATCTTCAGTGTGAGCTGTTCCAGTTCCTCCTTGTTCCCATGAGTATCCTTAAAAAAAAACACACACAAAGCAAATGTGTCTTTATTTAACACCACTTGGTATTTTTCAGATTGTTTCTCAGTGCAAAAAATACATTGCTATGAAATAACACAAAATGAGACAATATTTTGAAATTTACATTTATATTTTAAAATAAAAGAAGTGTCTTACAGCCATTCATTTTATTTCTATCTATTTTGGTTGAATTTAATTAACTGCTATTATATAAATTGTTTATTTAGGTTAGGAGCGTAACTTGGTCGTTGATCGATTTCAGATGCTCACCTGATAATGCTTGATGAGATTCTCAGGATTTTCCGAGAGGTAGACAATTAAGCATCAAATTACAACTTCTCTACGTTGTTCCACAGGGCTGGTCTGAAAAGTAAAACAAAATGCGGCTTGTTATGGTGCATACACACAAAATCACAACTATACAGTGACTCCATAGAGTTTGGGAATGAAGGCATTATTTGACCAACTCATCTTTAATGACGGTGAAACTGCTGATGGCAAATGAAGTTGGAAGCAAAATGAATTTTGAAAGAACAGAAAAATCTGCTCAGGTTCTGCTGCTATACACCACAATAATGATCTGTTGCTAAAGCGACAATAGTTTTTTAAAGCTAATTGGAGAATGGCCAAGTCAGTCACCTGATCAGAACCTAATTTAGCATTTATTTCATATGCTGTAAGATAGACATATTCCACCCAAAATGTTT